GGTTATTAACAGGTACCAATGTGATTCTGGCCCTTAGTGAGCAGAAGTAAAAAAAAAATGGCACCACAAGATTTACTCTAGAAAACATGGGGCTAATATTCTGTAAGTTACAGACAAACAACTGACAACAACAGCCAAAACACAACCGGAGCCAAGACACTTTCACATACAAGCTTGTGGCATGATTCAGCAATCTAACACAAACCCAGAGTGGAAACAGCACTTCCTTCCTCATTCTACACTGAGGCTTGTTCGTGACACACAACACTGTCACCAACAAACAAACACATGAAATGCTGCGGCTTCAGGTGCAGCCACGGCGAGCAGCAGCGAATCAAATGTGAAATTGAAACAGTGTTCTCACGCTAACTGGGTAGATATGGAAGGAGTGTTTATTACATGCTGCTGTATAAACCACAATTTGGTTATGGAAATAATAAAAAAAAATTCCATCTGTACCACATTCACAAACAAGGTAAGCAGTTGATTATCATTCAGAAGTAATGATAATTATATTAGAATTAAACACAATTACATTACATTTCTATTCTGTAAAGTATGAGTGTGTGCACATGTCTGGAAGTTTTAAATCGAAACAAAGTCAGTTGTTGACCCACTCACCTATAAAAGAAATGGCCTCTGGGAAGAACTGCGACAGGTTCTGACTCCAGTGGTCCGAAATGGGAATCTGCTTGTACCTGAAGTGGCCGTCGTGCTCAAACATGTTGGGAAGATTGGGTGTGACGTTCAGGATGTACTTGATATTGTACTGGCCCAGCACGTCTAGGTTGGTGGAGTCTTTGGCGCAGCCCAGGTAAAGGTAGGGTAGGATCTGGACGGGGAAGGCCGGCTGATTGCTGGGGATGGGGCTCTCCTCGGACTCCGTGGCGCTGCTCGGCTCTCGATCGGACTCCCCATCGGAGCAATCCGAGCTGATCCGGAGATTCCCAAACCCGAGGACGGAGAGCGGGGGAGAGGAGCTTGGACAGGAGCTGTCGAGGAGGGTCTCACAGTGTTCTGGGTACTCAGTGTGGAACTTCACGAATCCACCTGGAGAGAGAAAACACAACAGAAACAAAGTCACATCAAGATGTTCAGATTATTATTTGTTTTATAAATGTCTCACCTCTTCTATTTCAGAATTAGTTTTTATCATGGCATCAATTAAAATACAGTTGGGCTGTATAAAAAAAAAAAAAGCTGGAAGAGGCTGAAGCGCCTCCCAACACAGACCATTCATGAAATGCATGCCTGTTCCTGCTGGAGCAAAACATGGCGCGGCCATTTTGGAATTTTAATTGAGAATCTCAGTGACACATTGGGACGCGCTGCTCGCAAACTTTTCAAACATCCGCAAAAAAAACTCCGCATCACAGGATGGAAGTTGGCGCAGAAGTGACTTCGTTAGTAACACGAGGACGCGACAAAGTTACACTGTCGATGTGAAAGTTCAAATACAATCTGACAGAAACACGATCCTGTCGTTTCCTTTTTTAAAAACACACCGTTTCACTTCTTCTGCGCCAAAACAAGAATGTTCGTTGTCACGTTGGAAACTTCTTCACAGACACAACTTACTTACTTACTCACACGCACGCGAACCTATAACTACATAGTTCCAGTGGGTTAACTCGACATTCACGCTATTTACCTTCCAGATAAAACGCTTTGCATCCGTCCTCCCAGAGTTTCTGGAGAAGCAGCCCCAGCACCGACGTTGGCGCGCCGCTGTCCTGCCACCCCAGTGCGCCCTCGTCGTACAGCACCACCGTGTCCGTCTTACACCGCCGCATGAACTTCTCCTTGTCCTCGTGGCTGGGGATGATGGTCCGGATGGGGATGTTGCCCTTCCTGAACCTGCGGAGCATGAGCCCCGGGATGGCCAGGTTGACGGCGCTCTCTATGTGGGACGACTCGTACAGCTCGTGTGAGCGACAGTCCAGCAGCAGCAGGGAAGTGCCCCCGGACTCCAACTCCACTTGCAGCCATTCCACGCTTTTGCTCGGCGTCGCGTTAGACATGTCGGACTCGGGTTTCATGCCAAACGCGCCACTTCCTTCATGATCCACCGCCCGACCAGACGCCTCATCTCAGCCGGAGAACAGAGGAGAGAAACGGGAGAAGCGTTCAGACGCTGCCCCGCCGGCGCATGGCGCTTCTGCCCGAGCGAAGAGATTTCCCCGTTTCCCTCTCCTCTGTTTCCATCAGTGAGTGAGTTTGACCTGCCTCGAGGCCAGCACAGACCTATTTACACCCAGACATGTTGAAATGTGAAATGTTTTACAGCCAAATGATCTCTTCATCAACTTCCACAGCTCCACATCTAACCACGGTCCTCCATGCACACTCTACTTTTACCATTCCTGTGCACGGGGAGGTTTTCTCCTCTTAGTTGACAGTAGAGCAACTCAAGAGGGAGGAGTTTGTTCCTTATGATTTAAAGTCATAGCAGAAATATCACAAAGTTTTTCTACGAGCTGGTTCCACTGGGATCTTTCTGGAAACCACCACTTAATCCATTATTCACAACTAACTTCTTGTGTCGGACCAATACAGATTTTTGGGAACTGAAAATTCCCAAACTCCGGTACAATCCTGCACAAAACTGCATTTGAATACCTTTTCGAAAAATGTGACAATAAAATATATCAAATAATAAGAGTAATAATCTAGTATTAGTATATCTAGTATATTTTTTGTAAAATGTCAACATACATGCACATCTTTTTTTGCATTTTTAATATCTTTGTAAACTTGTATTGATTGTTGTAACTGTCCAATTCATGAATAATAATAATAACAAAAACAATATTTATATTAAACTTTCACTTAAAATTGACCAACTACAATTTAATAATGAACAATATATACCGATTTAGAAAAAAAAAAAATTTTAACACACATTTTTTTCAAAATAAGGTTAGCAGTTGTGTTAATTTAACATAACTTTAGAAAAAACAATTTTAAGTAATTTGTGTTTTTTCAGCTTCACTATTGTTTGAAGTTGGTGAACTATTCTACTTTAACTGAGAACCCTTTTTTAAAGTCTATGACACAGTAAGTATACATAAGGAATGTAATTACCACATAGAACATTACTGGTCTACTACTATAGAATTCCCCAAAACCATAATACAACAGATTAGATTATTACATAAGATTACAATAACAATCTTCTTTAGATAACTTCACAGCTTCTATTCAGAACACGGACACTGACAAAGGGGCATTTGGCTGTGGAAGAGCAGCAGATTTCCGAACTAAGGTATTTCTTCATTTGTCATCATGATAATATTCATTATCAGTTTTGTTACACCACTGAAACAGCTTCCTTCCCCAAATCTGAGGTGAAGTGAGTCAATGAAAGTCTTGTTTCCATCTTGAGATGTTACACAGTGGCTGCAACAGGAAATTTGTAAGCATGGTGCAGTGCAGGCATGTGTTTTTGTAAGAAAGTAACCACAAACATTGCCACTGTTCACAACTGGTAAGTCTGATAATGCAAGAGAAAGATGAATGAGAGTGGATTAGAGAGGAAGAGAGAGGGAGGGAGGGATGCGTGCAGTGGGAATCCAGCTATGCAGCTCATCTGTCTGCACACGTGAGCGGGGGAGACACAGATGTGCAGAGCATCAGGATTAACACAGAATGAGGAAAAGAGCTAAACCTGCGCTCACACACACACACAAATGCTCTCAACCATGATCAGACCCACAACAACACACACCATATCATTGCTGCAGCAAACCACAGCACCATTTCAGCACCTGCCTCCAACAGCCAGCCACTACATAATGTCAGCAGTTTAAACACACACACACACACAAGCCTCATACCCATATGATAGCTGCTGCAGTTGAAATCCCCTCCAGGAAGTCCAGAGGTGTTGCACCTGCCTTCAGACCTGAAAGAAGAGAATTAGCGGCCTGCATCTACAAAGGACAGTGATGGATGAGGGAAATGATGGGTGATATTTTCATGAGGTCAAGCAACACACTGAGGAGCATTTCCTCCCAACACCCCCTATTTAAATCCCCTAAATAAACACAACATGGAGCAAGAGTGTTAAAAACTCAGAACATCAAAGCTTGATGTTCTGAGTTTGCTGGAGCTGCAGCTGGAGGACAGTGGCGGTCACCTGACTGCTCCACTTCCACCAACGTTTGACATGTTATGTAATGTGCTCAAAACACAAGCTCATGCTAATTCTGTCAGAGGGAAGAGGGGGAAGGTCTCTGGTTTTGCAGAATCTCAGGTTCTTGCCTGTCAAGTGCTGCTTCGAGGGCTTTCACGCATAACCGGCGTGCAAACACACTCCTGTCATGTGCAGATGTACGGTGGGAAGCATTCAGAGATGAGACAAATGGGAGGAGAGCTTCCTCCCCATTGATGTTTCTATGGGTGTGGGAGTAAAGAGATTTTTTTTCCAATTGAGCTAATTCTCTTCAAAAATAACAATGATAGGCCACTAGGATAGAAATATCAACTCAATAATGATGTTGACACTATCTCATATGAAAAACTACATGAAATAACCAGGTTGCTGCATTATTGGCAGATAAATCTGATAGTTGATTTAAAATTCTCCATTACATCTGATTCTGCACGTCTTCTCCACTGTCACATGCTCCGAGGCGGATGGACGTGTATATGCAGCCTTTTATTACAACCACAGTGATCTCCCATGTTATCTGGATAGGAAACTCAATATCCTGTCCTGTGCTGATACCATCTAGTGGTTCATGGTGAACGCTGCTGCACCAGCTATGAGTCATCTGCACAGGGAGGAGGTGTCTGACGTCACTGCCTCGCAGTTGTAAACGGGAGAACCAGGATGCCGCCATGTGGTAAAAACCAAGAATGTCATTACTTGAATTTCATGGAGGAATGAGGGATTTGATCCCATAAAAACTTTTTTTAAAAGTAAATCCATTCATTAAAGTTGATGTGTAATGTGTAAGACTGCAGGACATTTATTGTGGGGTCTTAAATATTTTTATTTTTATGAGGCACTTTTTATTAGCATTTTTTTGTAAAGTGAAATGTTCCGATAGATTATTCAGATACGACTAACCCACCCAAACCTTATATATACATTTCGTAAGATGTTTAACGGGAGTATATATATTTATATATATGTATAGATGTGACAGGGTATGATATGAGAGCTTTATTGTCCCATTTTCTCACTGGATGCATTAAGAAAATAAGATAAAACACAATTTACAGTAAGAACCCATGATTACCTCTGCTACAAAAACAATGCTAATTAACCTTCAACCTGCTTTGAAACGTAGTCCTGTATATATATATAAAGTGAAAACCACAAAATAAAGTAAAATAAATGTATGTATAAAACAACCTTTCAAATTTAAAACAAAAGAGTAAATGACCACTTTAGCCACAAAATGTTATTGGCCACTGCACATTTTATATGTGGTGATGTATTTCATTTAAATAAAATAAATAGCTTGAATACATCTAGGATTTAGAGTTTTACTTGACATCAGGCCACAGCTGATATCATGTGACTGAGGCCTGTGAAGTAGGACTTCTCCCTCTCGCTCATCAGCTCGAAGTGAAGAGGCTGCTGGCAGAAGTTACACTCTGCTGACGAGTGCGGCCTCAGCTCCAAACCCACCTCGGTCCACGTCTTCGTCAGCTGGTCTGTGGAGACCGAGCACAAAACAAACAGGTGAGGTCACAAACCGTATCATTAATATGGTTGTTAAAGTGTGTATATATGAGTCAAAGTTCTAATGGTCATATTCAGAATACTGTGTAGTATAGTAGGCATACCAACAAAGTGGTACATCATCTGTGGGGTGTGGTGTGGTGTGGGGGCGATGCGCAGCAGCTCCTCTCCTTTAGCCACGGTGGGGTAGTTGATTGCCTGGACGTAGATGTTGTAGCGAGACATCATGATGTCACAGATCTCAGTGTTCTTCTCTGCATCTGCAACCTGCCGAACAGAATATACGATATGTCAGATTCACATTTGACTTGGTGATTGGAGAAGCTCTTCTTTTTGCGTCAGTCAAAGACAACTGGACTTGCTTTAGATCTAAAGTTATAACTTACACCTTTGCAATGATTCATTGTATTGCATGTATTATATTAGACTCTATTTGTTTCAGCAAAGTGTACTCACCCGGACAGGGATGATGTGGCTTGGACAGTGGACAACCGGAAGGCCTGAGTCCATCAGCATCTGTCGGAGAAGCTTGACGCTCCTCTGGTGTTTCCTCCTGAGCACCTGGCCTTCTTCACTTTTCAGGATCTTGATGGATTCCTTCGCCCCTGCGAGCAGCATGGGAGGCAGAGAAGTGGTGAAGATGAAGCCTGCAGCGTAGGAGCGTACTGCGTCCACCAGAGCGCTGGTGCTGGCGATGTAACCACCCACACAGCCGTATGCTTTGCCTGGAAATGAAACCCAAAGCAGGTCAGAGAAGCATGTTTGTGACTGACTGAGTGTTATGAAGTAATTCCCATCGTTAGAGAGGCTTTCACTTACCGAGGGTACCAGAGATGATGTCCATCTTGTGCATGACTCTGTCTCTGTCCCCGATGCCTCCTCCTCTGGGCCCATACAAGCCCACAGCGTGAACTTCATCCACGAAGGTCAGAGCACCATACTTGTGGGCAATGTCACACATTTCTTCAAGTGGGCACACAGCCCCTGTGAAGAGCACATGGTTTATTATAATAATAATAATAATAATAACTTTATTTCTATAGCACCTATTTAAATGAGGTTACAAAGTGCTTATTACACTATGTTTATTTTCATGATGTGAAACTTGAATGAAAATAAGAAATGCTTTTTAATCTCTCTGCTTTGAAAGAGTTTGTTTCTGTTAACTTGTTTCTGTTAAATATTTACTTTTAATTCATTTTTCTTTGCATAACTTGTACAATATAAAATTTAAATCACTTAAAACTGAATGAGGAAACAAAATCCTGTATCCCCTGTCCCCAATTTCCTTTTGAAGCATAAGAATACATATACATCAGATAAGTCTGACATTTCAGTGGCCTCACCGTCCATTGAGTGCACCGTCTCAAAGGCAACAATCTTTGGAGTTGAGGCATCAGATTTCTCGAGCATCTCCTGTAAGTGGCTGACGTCATTGTGACGGAAGACAAACTTCTTGACCCCACTGTTTCTTATACCCTGAATCATCGAGGCATGGTTGCCTGCGTCAGAGTAGATTTCACAACCTAAAGGAGAAAACAAAAGAAAATATTAACCCTGAATTACCTCCTATACGTTTCTGTCTAAATCAAATACACCATTTTCTACATTATGATATTTCCAAGCTTCATATAAAGTACCTGGTAGCATTTTTGCCAGAGTAAACAACGTGGAGTCATTGGCTACAAAGCAGGAGGTGAAGAGCAGTGCAGCGTCCTTGTTGTGCAGGTCAGCCAGCTCCTGTTCAAGCTCCACATGAAATTTACTTGTCCCTGAAATGTTTCGTGTGCCTCCTGCACCAGCACCATGCTTTTGAACTGTCTCGCTTCAAAGAGAATTTTTTTTTTAAAGAGTTAACTTTTATATTTTGCGAAAAAAAATCAGTTATGGATGATCTGCTTGCCTACTCACACTATAGTCTTGGTGACTGTGGGGTGACGGCTCATGCCGAGGTAGTCGTTGCTGCACCACACAGACACGTCTCTCTTTGCATGAAAAGACTCCGAGTAGTCGTCTGCCATCGGGAATGAAGAGGCGCGTCTGTTCACAGTCTTAAAAACCCTGTACGTGTGATCCGTCTTCTTGCTTTCAATCTTCTCTTCAAAAAACTTGTCATACTGGTATGTGACAGCTGATGGAGGAAAACGAGAGGGTTCATAAGATTCACAAAAACAGCTCATACAGTGAACTAAAGCTCAGAGGGAAGAACATGATTTACCTTTAGGCAGATTATCCTTTAACAGGTGTGACACTGGTTTAAAAAGTGTTTTTGGTGCCTCCATGTTTGACTTGTCTGCCTCGATGAGATCCACAACTGATAAATCCATGTTCTTTTTCCCTGATCAAGAAACGAGCTGTTAATAATCTATAAATCAATGCATGGTATTTATTTGCTAAACTTTCATGATTTACACAACCAACTGTCTGGGTATCCAATTCCAGGTGTGGCTATGTGACCACTTACCTGTGTAGAAAGATTGCATCTGCTGCACGTCCTCCTGCAGCTCCATGCTGGCCTCCCTAACTACCCTGTTGTGTTTCTGCACCATCTCTGCAGCCAAGAAAGGGCATTTAGAGCCTACAGCCTGGCCAGCAGGTGGCGTAGTGTGTCCTGGGGGCAATGCTTCATGCTTTTGAGCTAAAGAATACAAGAACATTTAGAAATTATAACAAGATTAGATCCTGTGCATTAATTGTATTGAGCTAACAATATTGATATACAACAGGGTGCATTCATTCGTTTGTTACAACTGACCGTCATTTGTTGAAGTGTGTTTGGACACAGAGGCCATAGAGGACAGAGCTCTGGAGGCCAGGTCCATCATCACGGGGCACTTTTGTGCATAGTTCACCAGCGATGACTTCCCAGCCAGCTGCAGGAAGACACTGGGAACAGTGGTGAGGAAAGGGCACCGGCGGATCACTGCGTCCATGTGAGACACTCTCGACCTAAATGAGTAGGAGAATAGGGGAATTATTAAAACATGTATCACAACAGTTTTCCTGTGAATTTTCAAGGCAAAGAATGGACAGGACACTGGTTATATTCTGTTAAGTTCAGATATTTAAATACAGCCTGCACCTGCCAACGTCTGACTGACGTAGCATCTCAGAATTCTTTCCACTAAACCTGATCCACTTAAACGTTGCTTTTATCTTCTGCTCTCTCAGTTGCCACCGGTTTCATTTTACCTGAACACATCCCAGTCCACCTTGATGTAACAGGTCATGAAGGTCTTGCGAAACATGACTGAATCCACACTAATCTATGACCAGTGAGAGACCAGAGAAGATGTTCTGTTTAATGCCCAGAATGCTCCTTTTCACTCTGCTCTGTAGTCAGCTGTCCCTGACAAGCAGAAAAGGGGAGAAGGCGGAGGCATCCCCTCTGAAGGAGTGGTCTCACTACTGCAACTGTCTTACCTAAGACAGAGGAGAGGAGGAGGCATCCGGCTGCTTGTGATGAAACAAAGTCATGAACTGAACAAACGGAGCCCACCTGGTCTCATATGTTACCAAACAGGGGCTGGGTCTCAATTAAAGTCTAATTTAATGGTAGGTACTATAAAATACAATCTCCTTTGTGCTGTCAAAGTTACCAGATACTTACTGACCTTGACCCAAAAAATAAAAAAAGAATTCACGTTGACAATGTTATCAATATATTAAAAACCTGTAAACATCTGTATCCAGCTGCTCATAAGTTCTTTTCAGGGTTTTTAGTCAGAACTGATTCTAGAACATCTGAAGACTTGAAGTTACACCACAACATCTGCACATGGACTCACATCAAATCTGATGAAGAGCAGGGTGAACCACGTGACCTGCCAACACCGTTACCCTCAGTTCTTATATGAACTAACCTGAGTGATGAAGATATGAAGTGAAGCTGTGTCTCTCTCTTCTTCTTCTTCTCTCTTTGGTAAAAGTCCAGTCGGTGAAATGACAGCACCTCGGTCACTCTGATGACGTTGCAGGAGCATGTTTCGCAAGCTCTAAGCCACGCCCACCGACTGTCATAGAATTACATTACCAAAGATCGTCTCGTCCAACAGGAAGCACTCTGCGTGTATTAAACTGAGCAACATACATGATCTGATGTGACTGAAAAACCAACAGCTACGTTTTTTTTTGTCCATATAATTAAAGTTATTCGTCCCTTCAGCCCACGAGACACTATTTACAATGTCAACATGAGTGAAACCAGAGGTGGAGTATTTACTAAGGCGCAGTACTCCAGTTCAAATTTGAGGTTCTTTGCCTTTTTCCATTTCAAGTGACTGATCGTAAAAAATCCAAAAAGAAAAAAATTGAGCTTATTGAGAATTGTTTGAATGCAGGTTTTATACGTGTTACAATGTGAGCATATATTTTTTAATGTTTAATTATTAAAACCATTGATGCTGGGCAATGAGTCAAATCTACGTTTTGTTTTTAGGATTCCCTTCTCTCTTTTGTCTCGTGGTTCCATACAGCACAACTTTATTAAAATAATTAGTCTGTCTGTAAAAAAAAAACCTAGTTGACTGTCATTAAAAAAATTAAATTGTAATATAACATTGAAAGTGGCTGTGGTGGAGCATGAGACCTGGAATAACTGAAATATGCTCATCACAAGACATTTACAAATCTTTAATATTAAATATTACCAACATACTAATTATTTGATCCCAGCTGTTTCTTTGATGATTTACCAACATCAAGAGATTTTTCCTCTTCCTTACCTGACAACACTGCTCTATTCTCCCATTTAATGCAGACTGAACTGAGAATATACAGATGAGCAGCTTAAATTATTATACATTCATTAATACAAAGCCACAGGGATGTCACAGTTCCACGTCACAAAATCATTATCCTCATGTGGTCACTTGTGGACTTTGCACCAGCATGCACTGTGTTGGTCAGTAGTTGAAAAGCATGAAGAAAAATGCTGAAACATGTGTAAAGTCATGAAACTGATTGGCAATGTTTCTTTGTTCGTCCGAATAACTTGTGAATATACTCAAGGCCAACAAGAACATAAAGACCAAAACCATACTCTGACTGATTAATGGGTTTGCAGGGGTTTTAATGAACAATAAAATAAACAATCACACTCACTGATAAATATTCACACATTACAAACCTAACAAACACAGATGAGTATTTATTGTTCTGAAAAGGTTAGATCTTTCTTTAGTTATCCAACCTACTTCAGCTCTTCACTTTCTCCTCCTCTAGGTGTCGGCATTGCACTCATATCCAGCCTCCGTAATGCAGCTTGTTGGGCAGGTAGATGCTGGTGAGGAAATCAGGAGCTATGGTTGCCAGGGACTGTATTTCAGCCTTGACCTTAGTCTGTTGCATCAGTTCCATCTACAACAAGAGCAAACATGCTGTTTTACAGGGCATGCAAGAGGAAACCGTGCAAACAAGCATAAATCATCAGCCTCCCAAACAGAGTGGCTATTCTGTGTCGTCCGTACCCGAGAGCTAAGAGTCCTCTCACACACATTCCTCTGCTGTGTGTCACACAAGCAAAATGTTAAAACTGTGTAAACTACCAGCAGGAACTGTTATTTCTTTCGAAAATGGAGCAGGAAGCTTTATACTAACTTTTCATCAAACAGGTCAAAAGGTGAGTGTGGTAGAGGAGGGCTGGGCAAAGTTAACAATCACACCATTATTCCTTTCCCCCATTTTTACAGTCACATTGTGACTCATAATCCAAATAAGTCTTTTTGTGCTCCTGAGGGAAAATCTAAAAAAGTGACAAAGGAAGTACTTTTGAGATGGAAATAAAAAATAATGCTGAAACTTTCAATCTTGTGACTGAGGCACCACTGAAATCTACATGTTTGAGTTCCTTTACCTCATCACACACACTATCAGGCTCTCAAACACTAATTCCTATGCACTTTACCCCTTGCTCACCTCTCTTTGCCAGTCTGGTTGGCTGCTCAAGTACGGCCTTTTAAGAAGACTACCGAGTTTGCTTTCATCTCTCTTGGTGAGTGGGATCAGGGCATCCTCAGGAACCTGCAACCTGAAGAATGAAATGTTGACTTTACTGCACATGACCAAATTCATTTCCTGAAAGTGACAGCAGGCAGAATGCAGCACTGTTGATGGATGTTGTTCCGACAGCACGTTTCCTCTCATTTTCAATGGACTCTCATTGAGGAGTTATTATATATATATGTTTAGTGGGAAACATAAGAGGAAGAACTGTACAGACTGCAATTAAATGTATGTCAAAAAGCCCTTTTGGCCTAAATTTGTACAAGAGGACATATACTTAAAACTCAATATACTCTCAGATGCAGTTGCTTAAAAGGAAAAAAAGGCGACGGCAACAGAAACCAAAACAAACAATCTAAATGTCCCCAGAATATAATCCCAATTAGAGGCAGGAGGAGGAAGTAGGAAGTAGCGAATGTTGAGTCCAAACCTCTGGAGGTCAGAGGGGAGGAGGCCTAGCCACATAACGCTGGGGACGGTCAGACTGTGGGCCTCAAACGACATGGCCTGTGGAAAAACCCATGCACACACAAACACACACACAAACACACAAACACACACACCCAGTCACATACAGTGACACAACATGCACACATACTCACAGGATATCTCCAATAAACACACATAATCAACAACGTACCCCTATAATGTAGTTATACACAGCACATGTTCACAATGAAGGAAATGAACATGAGGGTGATTACACAAACATCACAGAGATCAACAAAGACACTGCTACACAATCACTTAACATTTTCACCTCATACCACGTCAGTTTAAAAATTCTGAGATGAATGATTGGTGCATTTTTCCACTTAAAGAGGGGCATAATTACACATTGTTAACAGAGAGACACTGAACAGGCCACATCGGATAATATACAGTTCAGGAATAACTGGCATTGGTGGGACTCACCACTGATCCGTACTTGTAGATACACATGATTTCAATGCCTGGGAAAATGAGAGGCAGAGGGAGAGACAGAGGGAGAGACAGAGATACGCTGCAATCACCAACATACCAGAGCAATTATCCTCTAAGATGTGTAACAGAGCTTAGAACAAAGTAAAGCATTACATATGTGTCTCGCCATGCAATGGAAAGAGGGTTAGAGGTATTGAGACTGATGGAAACAGAGTCATCCCACCTGGACAAGATCACGCCAACGGAAATAATAGCCAGACTAGGCAATATGACAGGTGCTAACATCTGCTGGCTTAGTGGGACATGCAACCCTACTGTGTGTGTGTGGAGATGAAAAGAAAGTCAAGTGTTGTTAAACGTGTGGAAATATGTGAAGTATGTGTGAGAGGCAAAACTGGTTTGATGAGTACCGTGAGGGTCAGCATCCACCAAGGCAAAGGTGGGGATGTGTAGTGTGTCCCAAAGCTTCCTCACCATCAACCTGCTGTTCACATCTGGCACACCTTTACCCTGACGCACAAACAACACATCTATGTTTACAGAACACTGATTCTCTTGGAGAAACTAAAATTGATGTCATATTTACAAAAAAAAGAAAGAAAATATTGTGAGAACAATGGAATCTAACTGTGATTATGATGCAGGGACAGAGCTTTGTGCAGAAGTCGTCATCCAGGAGTCTCTGGAAAGTTGCATCCTTCTCAACTATCAGGACAAATTTTGCAGATGATACAATATCTGAACATTGTCAAAGAAAACAGACGCTACAACACATATTCCCAGAAGTATTTATGAATGACAAAAAGGGGAGAAACTGGTTGAATTTTTTCTCTCAAGAATCCTTTGTAAAGGATACTTCTAATCCCAGCAATGTTTGATGAAACTGCAACAGACTAAAACAAACCAGAGATAAAGATTGGTTCAACAAGTAAAAGCTGTCTGTCGTTCAAATGTACTGCTGTCTAATGCCTTGGTGCTGCTGCTCTGGAGTTGTTGACACCAAGATTAGATTATATATAAAAAAATGTTTTGCAATGAAAAGTGATCAGGATTCATTCAAAATATTGCTTATGTGCCATCAATACCGTTTCAGTCAGTATGTCTGTTGGTGTCTGTTGATCGGACTTACAGCAGAGCTTGAGTGGCAGTCAATCCTTGTGCCGTCCTCCTCCATGTAACGCAGATCACCTGAGATTAATCCCTTGGACGTGGCCAACTGGTGACATTAAATAAATGTATGCTCACGTAAACCCGTATATATAGTATTATACATACATCTAAGACTCTCTTTGAATTCAACGATAAATCAATCAATCATTTCCTCATGTGTTTCCTGATGTATGAAGCGGAACGACATGATTAAATCATTAAATAATTTTTTGGGATTATACTCAACTGTGGGACCTGAACTAATAATACCACAACATATGGACAGGAAGTTAACTTAGAGGTTTTCATGTCTGTGGTGTGTTTTCTACCACAGTCCCATTATTAACTTTCTCACATTAACTTGTGTTAAGTGCACACTCACCACATGAAGAGATCTGCGAGGAACCTTTAGCATGCAGGAGATATCATCAACAATACTGTCGACAGTTGTCTGTGAAACAAACAGCTGTGTATTGTTGTAATAGATGTCTCTGTCGAAACAATTGGTAAATCTTTATGGAGAACACATTTACCAATAACCAAGGAAAAAACTGGAAATGATGCGAATATAATTTGCCTTTGAGGTCAAAGAAAATAACCTTTTTGTAGCGTACGAGTTGCTCTGCACAAGTTTGTAGATGACAGAGAGAATCTTGAGAATTTGTCCTTTAAAACAAAAACACAAAATTAACTTTCTTCTAGATATTCAACACTATACTTTGTATTACTGGTCTTATTTCACAAATAAAAGGTCTGGAGTGGAAAAAAAATCCAAACATGTTCTGTTCTTAATTAGGCTATGCGTGTGGTAAACCAATCCTTAAAAGCCTCTTTCAACATGCTCTGTCTCTGCCAATTTGTCACCTTAAACTAAGTCTGACTTTTACGCCGTTTGTGCAGCTGAGGCACATGTTCACAATCAATACGAACCAAGGCCACGTGAAGTACAGTAAAACTGTACATGTTTTTTGACTGAAAGGAATGTCGGTTGTCAAGAACAGCAAAGTCACATTCGAAGCAAAATGAGAAAAATAAAAAAGTGAGGTGTGAGCGTCTCCTCACCAAATTTAGTGACAGACGAAGGACAGTCGCTCCTAATGGTGCTGATGGAACTTCCTGAACTCATTTGAAGCCCGACGGCACTGTGAAAACTTAAGTGGGAGGTGATGTGTGGAAGTTTAAGTAGCAAACAAAGGACGAAAGAGAGGCCATTCAAGAAATCTGCACATGCTGTGTGAGCAACATTTACTTTTACAGCTTTGAAAACCTGCTCCCACCTGTAAGCCATCTATAATTCCCCACACCCTGAGGGCTACCTCCCCATACTTCACTGTCCTGATTTGTCTGTGAAAACTTCTGTGGGATTCTGACATTTGAAAGGGCTAAGCCAGAATGTGCTTTAAGCTGCCGCAAAGTTTGATCCAAACAAGACCAGGCAGTCCGCTTTGTTCAAAACATAAGGTCTCTACAGCCTCATCACATTAAAGCCTCTCGTGCTTGTGTGTGTAGACCAGTCCTTTTCAATTCCTTATCACTCTGTAATCTTTTGAGCTCAGGAAGTTATTTTAACTTCAAAGTTGCAGGTTTTAAGTTTTTGAATGCCAAAGCAGTGTGCTTAAAACACGCTTTGTACAAATTCAGACAGAGCTCAAGTATGTATTTATTCTTTAAGTAAATTAAGCAGTACTTGGATCATCTTGTGTGGCCTGACCTCCCACAATATGACCTATGTAGGTAAATGTTTATTTATTTCTCTTCACAACATGAATTGCTGGTGTTTATCTTTTAAAGGTCAGACAGCTTACACTGATCCCACAGATCTGCTGAGTGAAATGAAGTGTTGAAGATGGGGGAGGATAACTTTTCTCACTGTGGCATGTTTTACATCGAGGTACCTGACGTTGGCCCAGCTGGATCTGTTGGGCAGTGCCAGGAAAGGAGCCTCATCTTTGGACAGACTGGTCACTATTCCTAGGATGATGTTTTCAATACGGGTCAAAATTTCCCTGCTGGAAATGAAAAGATAAAATGAGGATGAGATTATATATGACAAACATGAATAGTGCAAATGTTGATTACATTGCTTAATGCTGCGAATGCTGCAAGGTATTGTGAAAATAGCTTAAAATGACGGGTGGGTTCGATAGCTAATCTTATTTTTAATCACCACTCTCCTAAATGTGTTTGGATTAAAACCATTTTTTGTACATCCACCACATGTGTGATATATGACATATATGACGTCAACCAATACATTGAAGATTTATTAGACACAAACCCAAATTTGTATTTGGTTCAACATATCAGGCTTATTAGTGCAGAATGAACAGCTAGCTAACTAGCCGTAATTGTTAACATGTAATGAAGCTGATATAATATGATAATAGTCAAGTGTAGGTTAGCTAGCTTCACTGAGCTCGGGGTCACTGGTTACCTGCGTCTTCACTGTTGTTTTGCGTTCGGGCCGCAAACAAGCTAGCAAGTTGACTTTCAGCTGGTTGTTCATCACTTCCTGTAGCAGGTGGAGCAGAGAGGAGGTGGATGTGAACTTACTGGCTGATGTCCTCCTCCTCCTCGCGCTGTCTGTCCGTCACGACTTCAACACCGTTCAGCAGCTCAGCTCGGAGTCTGTCGATTTCACCGAAACCTTCCGCCGCCCAGGAAGCCATCATGTCTGTGTGTTAGCCGTTAGCTTGTCTACCTGCCTGATGTTCCCGCCCGAGGATTTCATTTCTCACCTGACACAGACCTGGCTGTTTGATTGGCTGACATCAGACCGGAAGACTTCCACTGTATTTACACAGTGGAAGTTTATATATATATATACTGTATATACTGTAATAATAATATATACTGTGTAAATCCATACACTACCATACACTACTCCTCTTGTAGTGTCATCCAAGTGTCCGTAAGCCCCGACATTCAAATTCAACTCGAAACCGCTTCATTTACACCATGTTTTTAGCCTAAATGATATCCTGCTGATAATGAGTGACTTTTCATTTTTGTGTTCACTGCAGTTCAATGATAATTTGTTTTTAAAATGTACTAATTGATGGCTGCATCTCTGAATGTGACACATTTTGCACACTGTTGATCACAAAAAACTTATTATATAAAATAGGGTTCCTTGTTATATAGTAACAAGACATCATGTTTTATATTATTCCCAAAAGGATCAAGAATCCTACCAGTTACTGGAAAGCCAGCTTGAAAGACAGCACAGAGGCTCTGATCAAGAACAGATACCAAGCACCAGATCCATAGACGCAGGGGTCGACCACAGCAGACTGGATTCAAGGTGCAAGCTGTGCTAAGAGGCCCCAGAGGCAATACAGCACATAGAACCAGAAGAGTTTATAATGTGATGACACACACGCAACTACCGCTCCACATGGGGTCAGGGAGAGATTTTATACTGTCATCTTTAACAACACTCTGACAGCACACTAGAGGATGTAAGATGCAAGCTGGGGGGGGGGGGGGGGGGGGGGGGGGGGTGTACACAAGAGCAAAACCGAGTGACTGGGGTAATGATGAATATCTGGGCTGAGTAGTAGTCTCTGAGTCAAAAGGGACACAAAAGTGGTTGAAAACAACAGAGCTAAGATCCTGACCTGCAGGACCTTTAAATTCCAGACTGCTGGATAACCAACCAGATAAAGTGATGGTTGATAAGGAGCAGAAGTGGACCGTTGTGATAGATGGGGCAGTACCAGCTGAAAATAACCTCAGCGAGAAGAGAAGAGTCTTAACAGTATCGAGAAGTGCCGTGTAAATAGGGCCTGTGACCCCCCCCCCCCCCCCCCCCCCCCCCCCCCCCCCCCATCCAAACTGGGAGACTGGTTCCAGCAGAGTCCAAGTCCAACATCTGACATTTCTGTAAAGAAGATATAAGTGTGCAATCCTATTAGCTATAAGATACCGTTCAGAACCCTCAAACTCCCAGGTGTCTCATAGAAGTTGTGCTCTTGATGAATCAGTGTTATTAAATATCAGTGTTACACTGACATCAAACTGACACAGGCATTCTGCACTATTAATAATTTTAATTTTGATGCTAATTTTAGATTTTGTCAGTCAGTCAATGATTTCAAGCCACATCATGATAAAACAAGTTCTTCACTCTTTTTCTTGTGGTGTACTTTTTACTTTAATATGATAAATCTTCTCCTCTCTTGTGATCAGGTTGCCACAGTTGAGAAAGCAGTTACCACACTAACCCACAGGAAGCAGTGATGTCCTGACATGCACAGAATTACAGCAAGAAGCTACTGGTTTCCTTCTTCAAGCTAAAGGTCAGTGCACATTTGCAAACCGTGTTCATTAATAACATCCAGGACTGTGTGCGGGGCCACTTAGCACCTCATTTGTATAAGGTGTTAGGCCTATGCTGGTGGTGTTCAGAAAAATCCCCATTAGCACCCTCTGTGGCACTCAGTTAACAGACCCCTTTATGTGAGCTTGCTGCTACTTGTCTAAAGGTGTGTCCACTGTATGTGTGTGTTTCTGGTTGTGTGGTGTTTTCACAAGGAGAGGCGGGGAGTAATTGGCTGTGGTTAGAGTCCCAGAGAAACAAAACATATATTGTATCTGTCAGCCATGTGGAAGTGGTTTTTAAATATAATGTCGATGATAGCTGCGTATAACGATAATGTGTTTCACGGTTCCGTGAGAGGCAACAAGTGTTCATTCTTATTCTTGTTCATAATGTAGCAGTTCAGTTTACTCAAACAGACAGTTATCGACTAATTAGGGCTGTTCCAAACTCCAAACGCGTAAATAACATTGAATAAATACAGTACACTGAGGACATCCCGTATATAGCTGCATCAACAACCTTTCAAAACCTGTTTGTGTTCCTTCTTTGCATCATCTTGTAGTTTGTAGTCAGGTCCCTTTATTGTTAAAACAGAGACATGCTTAGATTCTATAACTATTAGGTCATCAAGAGTCCCCACCTTTCAGAAATGCTGGCAGGCATGCTGTGTGTGTTTGTGGAGGCACTGCAGTCTTTTTTCACAGTGCGAAGGCCTGGTCGGAGTGTGTGGGAGCCTGGATCTAGAGAGAAGAGGTCTGTGCCCCTGACCTGACCCTGAATATTTCCTAATGTGCAGCTTTGCCAAAGGTCCCCCTTTCTCCTGAGTGGCTTTGGCAAGCTGCTTCCGTTGTAATAGCTCTTAATTTCTGAGTAATTGCTATCTCTAAGTGATGAGTGACGGCCCCTCACCCAAACTGAAAAAAAATCGAACATGTGGAACATTGCAACTTGTGGGGGTCCTTTTTTCTTATGTTCCAGACCCCTGCTGTTCTTTTGGCCCAGAGGAGATTTGTGTCGAGTGTGAGGCCCTAACCTGAGGAGACAGAGTGCAACGAGTCATGTGCTTGTCTCGGGATGAGTGTTTGTGCTGGGCAGTAGGGGGGAAGTAGGGGCTGCAGGGTCAGAGGAAAGAGGTGAGGGGGGGGCACCCGCTGCAGGTGAGGGGGATTAGCTGCAGCTAGAGGCCCAAAGAAACTAAATACAGATCTGTCAACCTAATCCTCACAAATAGAAAACAGAGCTGCCCTCCCTTCACAATCCACATAGTTCAGCACATCCACCTCCTGTTTCTCTCCCCCCTCTTCTACCTCGGGCTCTCCAGCTCCTCTGTTTCTCATCAGCTTTTGGCCTGAGCAAGTCTGGCTATGCAGCCTCCTCTCTAATGGCTCCTTCGACCAGCATGAGTCTGAGCTGACTGATCACCCAGGGTCCTCTTTGATTGACAGGCCAATACAGCATTACGGAGTGATGAGAGCAAGAGTCAAGGGGGCAAGGCCTCTTGCTGCACAGACAAGAATCTAAATGGGACCTCTGGCTAGAGCTGCACGGACCTTTATCAGGCCCTCACACCTCAGTAATGGATGCTGATAAGTGTGTGGCTGGGTGAGGATACCAGCTCAGTGTCAAAACCGGACTCTGTGCCGACGACACAAGTGACAGAGTGCCTGAGTGATAACATCCTGCAATGGATAAGCCCTACTAAGCTGGGAATTATGGGAAGCTTAACTAAAACAGAATCTCTGACTGTCACTGACACCAACTATAACTGTTGAGAGCTATGAATCAGATCCAAGCTACTCCGGTGTTCCCAAGTGCCAGATCCTGCTACAGACAGACGTGGGAGTGATAGCAGATACCGGATATGGGTGAAAGTAGGTACTGAGTGATAGCAAGCTGCAGACATTCAAAAAAGATAATAAATATGTGTGTTCTAGCAGGAAATCTGTCTTTTCAGCATCTACTGCTGTCATGAAACTTGTTATTCCAAACAAGTAATGTTGGAATTGATTATGGGACAGAGATTGTGTTACAGCTGCCAGTTCCTCTGTTTGGCTCCAAAATCTCATGTTTTTGAATAATAAAGGAATAGATCTAGGTCAGTTATCTGTCTGGCAAAACTTTTGTATCTCTTTGAATGTCAATCTCTTAAGCTTAGTTTCTAAAATGTATGTAAGGTGTAACGTAAAAATAAGAATGCAAAACTAAATGGATTCGATAAGGTATTTGAAAGCACTTGGATTCAATCATTCGGTGCTGGTTGCAGATTTTAGAAAAATGCTTTCAAATCCAAAACCTATGTGGGATATATAAAGTGAACCATTTCAAAGCTGTTTCATAAAACCACCCCCTCTCTTTCTTCTGCCTGTCTCGCAGCTGTGCTTCATGAGGCCCCTGGAAGTGTGAGACACCAGAAAGTGAACATTTGCAATAGCTCAGCTCCACCTGGTAAGGCTGTTTTAACAGGCCGCTGGTTTGTGCAGCGCACACAGTGGGGTTACGCCAAAAACGTGGACGAGGGCGGACAGGACAAGCAGACGCAGAGGGGAGGGGGGCAGAGGAAAAAATGTGCCTCCACCCTCTCCTGTCCTTGTACAACGACCCCCCACTGCTTCAATTGAGGGTCAGTTTACCCTGAAAAAAAGTTTTACTGTATTGTATGTTGGTCTGCTCAGTCAGATCCCCTCACCCCTGCTCCTCCTCCAAACCTCATCCACCTCCTTGCATCCACAGGCCTTCAAAAGACTGCTGCCTGCTGCTCTGTGAGGCAACACATGAAATAAATATTAATCTGAACTCTGACCACCTGAGCTGCTAAATAGAGATAACCAGGCAGACAGAGAGAGTGCAATTGCTTCAAGGAAGAGGAAGAGAGAATAGCAACATCATGTATGAAGTTGCGGGGGTGTGAAAGACTATGCAGGGATTTTCTCTCCACTGATGTGTGGTCTCCTCTGGAGCTTAGGATCATGCTTCAACCTGTTGGAGTGCAGTGTATTTGCACAGATTGGAGGCAGTTGGAAGCAGTTTTTTTACAAAATTTAAGAAGCTGTTCCCCTCATGGAATAATAATGGTCCTGTTGTCAACTCTCTTTTCAAGTTTTATTTATTGTCTTGAATGTAAAGGTACAGTTATTGACTTGTATGTATAGAAGTGTTAGATAACTGGGAGATTTTCTGAATATTCTTTCCACAGTTAGTTTTCTATGTGTGTGTCTTTGACAGAAGGTTCAAAGACTATTTGTCCTGCTTTTCTGCTTTCGTTCTCCTCGTCAAAGGCCCCTCAGTCCAGCTCACCCAACCTGGCCTCAGCCTGTGCCCACTGTTTACTGTGACTGTCACCAGGCCCATGAAGGCAAAAACAAAGGGGGGTCTGTTCCTATTGTCCTGCCCAGAATCATCAGCTCGTCTCTGGGCACAAACTGAGCTGAAGGTTGGGGGTTGTTGGAGGACCACCGGGGGGTTTTACCTCACCAACCTTAAAGCACGGGCAAGAGCAAGAGCATGAGACAATGAGAGAAAGGGCTAGAAAGTGAGAGAGAGAGGAAGATGTATAGTTTTAGCTAAAACCAAGAGCCTTTCAAGTCCCCTGTCGGAAACTGCTGTAATGTAAACACCTGCGGCCATTAGCTGATTCTATCTGAGGCACCGGATAGAAATGTTTATATGTTACAGGCTACTACTGAAAGGCCATTGGAAAGCAAATAGAGGATTAGATATACAGAATGAGTAGTGGCAGCCCATGTGAGCTTTCAGGCTTTAAGCCATGTTGAACTGTCATTGGAAAAAGAGTAGTGGAACTCCTTTGAAGACAAGAACAACCACATTAAATGGGCAGGAAGGTGAGCTAAGTGTAGAAGACCCCAAGACATTCTCTGCCTCTTTTCCTCCCCTCCTCTGTTTGCAATCATAGCTCAAGCCGTCTGGCAGCCGCTCTTGCTGTGCCATTGAAGTCTAATTTTACTGTCATAAAAATCACCTGGCAAGCTGTAGCCCTAAAACACATCAACCAACCAGAGCTTTTACAACACCACTCTCTGTGTACAGAAAAGGTTTTTAGGAGGTCTGTCGGGATAAAGTGGCCGTTCCATGGTGCAAGGACCATCTGAGATCCCTCCGTCTCTGTCAGTGAGAACGGAGCTGTACAAGAGGGTCAGGAGCGTTCCATTAAAGTGTGGTGTTTAAGAGGTGCTGGGGCCAGGGGGCAGATGGAGGGATGGAGCAGCTGCCAAACATCTGCACCCCTCCTTCGCATGTCTGTGCTCTGCCTGTGCACCGCCGCCTTTGTCACAAACTTCCTGCGCCAGCAGTGGGGATAAAAAGCTTGGATGTCTGCAAAAATGCAGCATGAAATGGCAGTTGTGCTGCCTCTCTGACATCAAAGGTCAACTGACTTATAGCGCTCACGACCACCTGACCTGAGGCGTTCAGATGGTGCACCTGCAGATTTGACAGCATTGAAGTTTTCACTCGCACAAGCAAACAATTATTCTCTGGTTTTATTTTCCATATGCACACCAACTCTGAAAAGGCCTATTGTCAGTGCACATCTGCCAGTGTTGAATCCACTCAGGAACTCGGAATTTTGGGAAAGGAATGACAAAAGGTGCAACTGACAACATTTACTTTTTAATAAACTGAAGTATTATGATACAAATTTGGGACTAATCCGTTTTCTATTTGCACATGTTGCCTCAAGCCAATCTACAACTGATGACAAAGGCAGAGTTAGCTCTCCATTAGACAGGCACCTCTCTCTCTCTCTTTCTCTCTCTCTCTCTCTCCCTCCTGCTCCTCCCATCCTCACAGCGCCTCCTCTACAGAACGTGTTCCTGTCTCTCCCGGTGAAGCAGCCTCCTCTCTACAGTTGCAGGCTGCATCACAGGCTGGATGAGGATAAAGGTCCACGCGAACACAATCTGCCCAGAGAACCAATCAATAAAGAGGTCTCGGGGTTAAGTTGATGGTTCATTCGGGAGTACTTCCCTCAACATGAGGGTCTGTAGCTGATTTGGATATTGAACACAGGCTACCTGTTGCTAAGAGTTCAATATCCATTTCCCAGAGTTTCGGCGAGCAGAGCTGGGCGCAATTACGCACAAGTACCAATGGCACCGATTTGGGACAGACGGGCTCCCGCGTTGCTCTTGGTGTGGAGCTACTGCGTCCTGGCGGATACCGCCTTTACGAACTTTACTCTGGACAACGAGTTCCACTCCAGTTTTATCCACCGTCGGCTGAAGAGCCAGGAGCGCAGAGAGATGCAGCGGGAGATCCTGTCGATCCTCGGGCTGCCGCACCGGCCGCGACCTCACCTCCACGGAAAGCACAACGCCGCCCCGATGTTTATGTTGGACCTGTACAACGCCATGTCCACAGAGGGGGACGAGGACAGATACTCATACCCCTACAAGCCCGTCTTCACCACCCAGGGGCCCCCGATAGCCAGCCTGCAAGACAACAACTTCTTAAACGATGCAGACATGGTGATGAGCTTTGTCAATTTAGGTAGGCTCCTTGTTCTTTCACTGTTTGTGTCACCAGAAACTAAACACTTAATTCAAAACAGCAAAAGCCACCGAGGGACAAAGAAACACGTTCAATTATCTGAACAATTAAGGCCACTGAAGGGAATATTGTCAGTCCAGTCATCTCAGTTACATTGCTCTTGTTATGATTAGATCATTATTTTTCATAACCTCAAAAAACACATGAAGTCCCCAAACATGAAGTACAGTTTTCAGTTTTAAAGTTTCTGAAGCTAAATACACCTACATTCATTTTATAATTCTCCTCAAGGGAGGATGGAAGTATTGCCCTCTACTTGTTCCATCTCTTCCTGGTTTTTCAGACCCCCTCCATGAGCATTCCACTCATGTGTCCACGGGGAAAGTATCACTCCAGTGACATTTTAACTTGTTACACCTCAAGCTGCACCTGCATGCACACACAGGACAACAGCACAATAATCATGTTTACATGCAGCTACTTTACGAGAAGGCACAGTTATTCAGCTAATACTAAGGAGTGTCACATTCCAGTCTCCCTCTCTGTCAAACAGCTGTGCACTGCAGCCAGCTAATGTTCAGGTACTGGGTCTGCATATGACAGACCAGCAGGCAGTTAATATGTCAACCACGTGTTATCTAAAGAATGAGTAAGTCAACCTCAGAATGGGTTCAAAGTGCACTGCTCCCTTCTCTCCAACCTGGAGACATGCCTATAGACAGAGCACACATTAATGATGATCTGAGTTTAGTTTAGTCAGTATTGGTCATACACCTAGTCATCATGTCGTATGATGCACTTCACACCAATAGAATAATTTAGTTTTTAAATTGTTGTTCTGTTTATCGAATGTGAACTGTCTTGGTTGATTTTACAGCCGTCAGCAACACTTTGGGGATATCAAGTGCAGATAATCACAACATTAGCAGGTGGTGTGAGGTTTACAGATACATATACACACTGTTATTAATACAGTTTTGCTCCACAAATGATTCAGTCACAGCAAATGCTCCAGATGAGTTGATTTTTTTCCCTGCAGAAAACGGCCGATGCAGTATAATGAAATTCTCTGCAGGCATATGTGGTATTTAAATGTGTGCAAACCAACCGAGTCTTGGTGAATTTTTGCAAAGACTTGGGAGTTTAAAGTCAAACCTGGAAAGATCATTGTTGGAGCGTCTTGGCAAGAGAGAGGGAGGTGACACTGGTGCCTCCACTGCACTGTGTAATTACTGTGGGAGCTGCTGCATTGTGACTATTTTTGACAGGCTGTGACACAGATGGATTTGACCACAGAGACTCGCAAAGTCAAGGGCCTCGCAAAGTCAAGGGCCAAGGCTGCAGCGTGCAGACAAGAAGGAAGGGAGCTTTTAAGAGAGAAGGAGAGATCAGGGCTCCATTGCTTTTGCAAGGATGATACTCAAAGCAGAAAGAAAGTAAAGGTCACGTCAGTTGTAAAGAATCTTTGACATATTACTGTTATCCATATATAAAGCAGGTGTGTGTCATTGCATGTTAGTTATCTACCATGTGTCACATCTCTCAGCAGAGTTCATTGTCAGGTCCCCCCTTCGCCCCCCGAGTCTCATGTGATACCATCTAACATACGTCCTCGCAGCTTAATTTAAAACAGCAGATAAAATGCTGTTTCATTACCCTTCACATGAGAGTGAGATGGACTCGCTATTTCCTCTCCAAATCCCTTCCTCTCAATGTTTTGCTCATTGTGGTTTTGTTTTGTTATTGCAGCACTGGTTTGTAATTTCATTTAGAAGACAAGAGCGTTCTACTTCTGATTTCTATTTACGTCATCGAGCTACAGTCCAGAGCTACCCATCTGGTTAGAAGTGCAAAAAACACATCTCTGTTATTAGCCACTTCATTATCTTAATAATGATTTGATCTAAGAAAAGAAATGTTCTTCCTCTTCCTTGTTGTCACATTGTGTGTGTGAGTGCTGCAGACTCCAGTGCAGTCAGCCAGGGTGGGTGTGGGCTTTGGGACAGACCCCAGGCCAGGGACGTCCTCTCGCTGAGTCACTGCAGTTTAAAAGGCCAGCTGTGTAAATGACTTACAGCATACGTTCATAATTTACACCGTTACACACAACACAGGTCACACAGGCACTGGGTGTGTGCTGGACACGCCATGATCATAACCCAATCGATCTATCTTTATCCATCTGTCTCTTTCTCTATCTGTCTCTATCCACAACTATTTAATTGAATCCCAGTGGTCTCTGCCAGCATTAACCCTGAGCCACCATGAATTAAGTCATTTCCTCCTTAACAAACCACAGCTTCCAGGGCTTTTGGCCTCTGCTTTGGCCTTTGCCGAGCTACAGTTCAGTTAAGCTCAAGTTCTCTCTCACACACAAGCCAGTCATACGCTGCCATCCAGGCACACACACAAACACTCATCATGCCCATTTACTCTTCCCGGACCACAGGAAAAGACGGTGACTTGAACGTCTGCTATTTGCATCCTGGATGACTGAAACAGTGGCAACATCCTCACCTGTGTTTATGTTTGGGAGGGGAGAGGGGCGTTTATAGTCTTTTACTGTAAAATGTTATCATGAGGTATATGTGAGTCAGAGCGTCCTGATTATTCCTGTCCTCAAGAAATCCTGTGTTGATTAACTTAACCTTTAGAGAGTAGGGGGAAAAGAGGCAATGCTACATTCCAACTGTGTGTGTGTGTACATATACTTTGGGATGATTAATAAATCAACACATTGGTTTACCTGCATTCAGCAGAATCTTAAGCAGTTTTCACATGACCTACACATGCACAAGGCAGCGGGAGGTTCTCTGCACAGACGTGTTCACAACAGCAACAAATCCTCCTCATTATTATTATTATTTTACTTCTACGTGTATGACTTCTCCTGGATTTCTCCAGACATTATACTTGGTGGAGAAACTCCATAGAAACTACTGAGCGTTTCACTTGGGCATTTGCGTTCACACATGCGCTTCCTCCTGAGAAAATACGGAGGAACTGCGGAGTTCAGTGCATGACTGAAAGCAGCTATAATGTGATTATATGTTATTATATATGAAGAGTTTGGTCATAAACACTCGTGTCATTTTTAAAAGTTGTTAGTGCTGTATTATACTTAGTACTTTCCAGGTTAAACAGGATTTGTTGACAATAAAAAGTATATAATATATCACCATACTTATCTTTGGACAATACAAATCACAGAGTTAATAAAACTTTTGCTGTCAACATTTTACTCTGACACATGTAAAGATTGATTATTTCACAGGTGATACATCCACCATATGCCAGTATCACAGAATATCAGAACTAATATCATGATGGTTTCAGATTCCAGCTTTTGTGCATACTGCCACAAAATAAAAGCATCTAAATAAGGAACAAATATCAAACCATTGAAAAAAACCTGATGTGCTTTTAAAGGTCCAGTATGTAGGAGGGGATCTATCGGTAGAGAGGAAATATAATACTAATATTTTTTTCATTAGTTTATAATCACCTGAAACAAATTATCATATAATCTTTTAGATTTTTTTATGTGTAGGGTGTACACGCTTGGAAGCTGCAGGAGACATGAAAGCGCTTCAGTTGGATGCAATTTGCAACTTCACCACTAGATTTCACTAAATCCTACACACTGGTCCTTTACTTGTTCAGGGTTGTGCTGCTGTTGATAAGCACCACATGTGATACATTGGAAGGGTTGAACAACAGTAAACAAACGAAGTTCCTCTGTTTTCATTTACTCATTGTTTCAATATGTAACATTTGGGTCACAGTCATCATCTCACCCAGTTCAAGCCACGGTGCTGCACATAGTTGTCTTGCGTCACGTTACAGCTCTGCCTATATTTAAATAGAGACTTGAGGCTGTGATCATTAAAGGAAGAGATATTGCCCAGACCTGGCGTGCTGAGTGAGTCAGTGCACTAGTGGGTAATTATCCTTTGCGTTACCTTGGTGACCCGTCAGGGCACCACCTGGCCCTCCACCATTCATGGCCCTCCGTCTACGCCCACAGGAGCTGCCACACGGCCGCCCGCCAGCTTCCTCTGCCTTAGAGAATGTGTTAATGGGAAGGCAATGCAGAGCAGAGAAGGGAGTTGTCATACAGAGAAATTAGTTTGGGTTTATTAGAGGATTTAGCTTCAGACAACATTGTGTGACCGGCTTACACATACACACACACACATATGCATACACTTACACACACATGGTTGCATGCTCAGAGGCTGTTGTGTCACACTACAGTTGTGTGCGAGGCACACAGCTCTGGTTTTAAAGCTGATAGTGGTCCATATGTTTAATTTTAAGCGAATAACTCCAATATCTCAAATACTCATAGCTTTCCCCACCCTTCTCTCTATTGCTCCTTGCATTCCTCTCCACAGTGGGCTGCCCGCGGTGCTGAGGTTAATACAGATGTTTCCCTCTGTCTGCAGGCCAATGCAGCTGTGCAGTGAAACTTTATCTGTTCAGAGTCCAACAAGTCCCCTCATCTCGACCTCCACCATCACGTCTGCCCCGGTCTCCAATCCATCCCACACTCAGCACCACCTGATACCAAATGTCCCTCCCTGCTCTGCCTGAACCAACAGTATTGATTATCAGCACTGGCCTCCTAGTTTTAATTAGTTAGTTATTCTATGGTCCCAGTAGTGTTGTGGGGTGTTTAGTCTCCAGCCTCCAGCTCTGGCCCTCACCTCTAGAGGTTTGAACCTCCTGCGCTCCCAGACATAAAACATTTCAACACTTTCTCAAGTTCTTCTGTGTGTTTTTCTACTCCCCACCTTTCTCTCACACATCTACACATATACATACACACATATTCTCTCTGAACCCAAAACACTGCTTTCTCTGTCTCACTACTTCATCTCTCACTCATCTCTGTCATAAACACACACACGGTCTTATTTGTCCTTTTTGTTCACCGCTGAGTTGTTGACTTGACAGATTTTTCCTCGTCACCTCAGCTCCCACCAGAAGCTACTTTC